ACAAATGGCCCAGCTCACATCACACCCTTTGTTGCCTAGTGCATTTAATCCAGCACCTCTACTCAGTTTAAGGGACCATGCTACAGGGACCATCTGCCTAAGCCGCATATTTCATATTATTGAACTCAATGTCATAATAAATTTATAATTGACATAACCATGGCAAAAGTAAAAAGAAATACGGAACAGGAAACACAACAGCAACCAATTAATATTTGTCTTTTTAAACCATTAAATTCCATGTTCAAGGATTGATTGGTATTCTAATATACTATCAAGCATAGCAAAAACTGTGCAATGGTTTAATCATTGACTGCTATACATAGTAGTCCATCACAAAAAGTTACTATTGCACTACATATTGATATAACATGATTAAAAGTTTAAAGTCTATTGTGTTAATAAACTTGAACAAAACAATTACCGGTACAATTATTCAAATTAATGTTTTGTGTATTTAAGTTATCAGTTTTTTCTTTTTAACAGAAAATAAGATTTCACATTCAAATATACTGTTCTAATTCTTTCCATAGGCCCTAAATTCGGTGGTAACAATAAAGATTACATAATAAACGTCTCTAAATCTGTGTCTCATTGGAATTTTTTAACTACAATAAATTTTACTCTTCAAGCAATTACATTTCCTAAACTGAATTTTCAGGTTTTAGAACTTTTCTACATTTTACCTCGGACAACAGACTTCAAAACAAAGTGTATACAGTTGCACCATACTCTGATTCACAAGTCAAAATGTAATAACAGGATACATTTTAAATATTACAGACTTCCCGAGATATTTCTACCAATATCAATGTGTACGCAGGCAGTGAAGATACAGTATGTGCGATACCACTAAACACACAGCAAGCCAAGCAATATGACTATTCACACTGATCCATGCCAATTATCTCGCAAACGTTGTAAAGGGTATGCCATTTTCCCTACATGAATATATCGTACACGGGATGCATGTGAAACTTAAGTTCAAAGCAGGGGCTGTATGCTAAATTTTCCTTAGCACAAGATATGTCTGTACAGTGTAATATTTATCTTGTCTGAAATGGAGACAGTAGACCATAGAATTACTGTATCCAGAAAAATAAAGGTAAAATGCTAAAATCTTTTTATGGAATAGACAGTGTCTGACTCATCCTTTCTAGGCTCTGTCTGTGAGATTCATCTCTTCTTCTGATTAGCCTGATTTGAAGTTTAATTCACAGAAATGTACAGATTGTCAGATATTCCCCCTGATGTAAGCAAATGGCTGCCTCATTAAATAAATCATGATTTACCATGAATCTATTTTAAACAACTGAAACAACAAGTATTGTACATTACAACGTACATTTTTAATCTAAATAAATTCAGATACTACTTATTACCACAATGAAAAAAAATACTGTACTGCCAGTACTGCTTATAATTAATTTTCACCTAAATATTATTACACTTTCAATGCAAACATAACCTTTCAATGTTTCAAAATATTTATTTTTTAAATTTTTTGATACTTTACAGTAATGTAAATACCTTATTCGTATTATAAGCCATTTATGTACCTGATGTTATTTTTCAATGTTTTCTGTACCTAAACAACATGCTAATTTAATCAACCTGTAAAAATTGTCAATAAATAAATAAAATTGTGTATTAGTCGCATCACTTACAGTATACACTCATTTGCTTATTTATTATCAAAATTATAAATGTCATATTCTTTGTAGACTTAAATTAGATGGTTATCTATTAAGGATTTTAAGAAAAATAACAGCGAAAACTAGATTGTTTCAATCTGTGTTTCTATAGTTCCTTTCCAATCATTGTGAAAGAAACAAGACACAAAAAAAAGCTATTGGATCATTATAAGTATCCTACACTCTATCTAAACTGCTGAAATACAAATTATTGATAAAGCAAATCACTTTAATCAATTAATGTTACATGAATTCTGGATGCTGTCTATGAACAATATGGCCCAATTGTGATATCACTGGGCGGACAACAATAATAACTCGTAGAGGTACTACAACACTGTACTGTAGCCTAAACTAAATTTGTTAATAGTGATTTTTCATCATTCTTTATATTACTATATTTTTATTTGTTTTTTTTTTCATTAATGCTATGCATGAAGTACAAGTTACAATTACCATGCAAAATAAAACGGACTAATAGTTTAGCAAGTACAAATTATGGCCTGGAATTTAAACAGTAGACTGTACCTGGGCAGTTATTGTGTTTTACAATTTGCAATACAAACTTAACAAAATAGCCTGGTGGTAGATCATGACACTAATCAGCTTTGAGAAATGAAAGATGTTTTAATGTTGTAAAACAAAAACCCAATACAGAATTTTTGGTATTTTGTTAGTCAAGAAGAACTATCTGCAGAGGACTAGGCCCAATAATGAAATTAATGATCCCTCACTAACTCAGCATTAAAATGGAATGGTTATTAAAATAATTATGCATGTGATTATCATAAGAATGCTTCCTTCTAGTTAAAATGTTTGATATAAAAAAGCAATAAGCACAATTGACTATGCAATAAGGGCATCAATCTCATATAATAAATTAGGCCTGCTGTACTTAGTATTTCACCATAATATATTGAGTGCAATGTACTTCTGTAGGCTGATCAGTTTACTACCATATTATCCCAAGATTTCCTTGTACACAATTTAAAAACTGTTAAGAATTTCCTGTACAACATGTAGTATTACAAATCCAAGGATATCAGTATGTAGCTCCCAAAATTTAATTAGACTATAATATTGCAATCCATAATGAAACATGTTGGTACCTATATGCAAAGCATAAAATGTACCGGTATGTTATAATTTGTTGCATTTTTTTAATTAATTCATTATGCGCTTCTTATTAAACAAAAAAAACAAAAAAAAAAAAAATGCTGATAGCTAGAGGCTTATCAATTATTGAGGCCATCTGCCTTTCCAAAAAGTGCGACTTTGAGTAATGATTTGCTTTGTAATTAGTTGAAATCCACTCCCGTATCTTCAGACCCAACAGATAATGGATCCGGTACCAAACTTTTAACTAGTGGAAAAATAAGTGTCCTATATCAAAAGATATTTTGCTGACAAAAGCAATGAACATGACGTAACAAAATAAAATGAATACACCATGTCGAAGGTACATTTCTTTTTGAAAATGGTGTCACAGCTAGGCCCTAGTCCTCGCATAACTAATGCATAAAAAACTATCTCATTAGGCCAAGTAAAAAAAAAAACATGTTTCACGTCCGGCTTTTTTTTTAAATTGAGGAAGAGGCCTTTTTTATTTTTTATTTTTCAAAATGGCCGCCATTCTACAGCCTCGGTTTACCAGTCGCATTTAGGAATCATTGTTACTGTATACAATCGGAATGTTCCCGATGTTACGTCTCAGACGTCTTCACATGAAACTATTCCATACAATCTGACATAGAGGGCCAGTATAACGGGAAATTCCAGAATTCATCGGAAATCATCGGCCTTATTCGATTGGGACTTTCGTGCTCTGCTCAACTGGGACTTTCGTGCTCTGCTCAACGGAAACTGCTCAACGAAGTTAACGCTCGGAATTTATCGTTGAGTTTTGTACTCAACAGGATAACCTACTCAACGTATAGTCCCAATCGAATACGGCAATTGTATGCATGACAAACGCGCTCTAGTGAAGTGAACTCGAGGTTTGCCGCCTGACGCCCAGAGTAGGCGACGGCCTAGGCCTAGCCTAGAGATAT